TTTTTTTTTTTTCTGTTTTCTTATCAATAACTTAAAAGCAGGAAATTACAGTTGATGAATGATCAGTCTGTAAGTGTGTTGCTGATTAGCAACTTTTCTTTATGGGCTTCTTTTGGCGATGACAGTGCTAATTATTTGACAAGTTAGTCTGTCCTCCCGATACTGTTGTTGTTGGTCGATAAATAAACAACTGATGACTGTCACCTGGGCAAATGTTTGAAAAAAACAGAAAAAAGTTTCCCATTTGTTCGGGTAACCGTTTGTCGATGTCATTTTTGGTCGTCACAGAACGACCCTATTTTATCAAAAACTTGTATTCTTTTTAGCCCCCGTAGTCATCATTTAGTACAGTGTTGTAGAAACAACTGAACTTTTAGAGAGAAAAGTACCAAATCTGACTACAGTTTTCAATTTTTTTTTTGTGTGTCTGTGTGTGTTTGTTTGATTAATATAAAAAAAGTACCAAAAGAAAACAGAAAATGTATCAAAAACTTGAAAAAATAAACTTTACAATAGGTTTTGATAAAGTTCTTCTAGAAAAAAAAGAAGTATTCTGAAGAAGCTGCTACTGCAAAAAAAAGCACTGCTTAATTCTTTGTTTCAACAACAGACATTTTTACATAGTTTCTTTGTTTTTTTTTTTCATCAGAAACAAAAAAAAAATACAAATTGAAATTTAGGTTTTGTCAAAAAAAAAGAATGTCTTTTTAAATTCTGCTTTGTCTGAGATATTTTTTATTGTGCAAAAACTAAACTTAGTTTATAACTTTATTTGTTGCCAAACAAAAAAAAAGCCATTCTTTGAAACGGTTTAATTTGAACTGTTTATTTGATTACTTTAACTGAGAAAGTAATAAGAGGAGAATTTCCTCTCCCGCATTCTACAAACTTTCATGTTACCAACAGTAATTGCTGAATAACTTTTGCATGTGAACAGTACACTCTTTTAAATTATGCTTTTATTATATTAAAAAAAATATTAGCTTTCTAAATTAGTGCTACACAAAGTTCTGTATACTGTTGTTCACCATAGATCTTTTTCACATGGTT